CTCTCTCACTTTATTTTTGAAAAGTTATTATTGCTGCCTTTAAATTAAATTTAAATTATTTTGTTATACGTTGTCTAGTGCCATTGCACAAACCATCAAATTTACTCAACTTTCTTATCAACACAACAATAGGGTATATTTTTTTATTTAAAACATGACGGGGTTATCCTTCATGGATATAATTCAAAGTTTACTTTGGAAAATTTGTTTATATTATCTTCAGTGTGATTACTACCTCTATATTGTGCATAATCTATACTGTAATAAGTATGTACTGTCCCTTTAATAAAACTCAAAATTTGATTATTTAAAATATACGAGCGTTCTTTACGAGGTGTCTAAATGACTCTTTTTAATCAGCTACTCCTACCATCATCATAAATTTGGTTACAAATGTTATCAGTTTTCCATCCCTGAGGAATTTCAAAAAATGATATAAGGTGAATAGATAAACAATTTTCGTTATTGTTAATGGACATTAGAAACAGAACCATAAAGTATCATTTTTTTAATTTCAAAATTTTTAAGTGTTTTCATAGAAATAAATAGTTTAAAGTTTTACTAATTACATAATAACCATATAATAAAATTATATAACTTTTACACCCATGCTTTATTACTGGAAGTATTTGTCTAAAATTACCTCCTTAAGTTAATCAGCTTCCACCAAATGAAAAATTATTATTACATAAATCTTTCACAGTTTTATCTACTATTTTAGAAGCTTTTCTAGGGATCATTGGAGCTTCGTCTTTAATAATTACACTTACTTCTCGAAAACGAACACGTAATTATCCGGTTTTTATATGTGTATCTGTTTTTTGTACGTACTTCAATTTTTTTTCAGGTATTTCCTAACAAATGAAATAAAAATTGGGGCAAAAAATAAAATGTATAGAAATTATTAATTTAAAAATTAATACATATATTTAATTCAAAAATTATGCCATACAATGCAGTTGAGATAAAAATATATCATTGAAGAATTATTCCAATACTTGTAATGAAAAATTTTGTTTCAGTTTGAAAGATTTATTCATCTACAATGTATGAAAAAAAAAATTTTTAAACCCTGAAAAATGAGTAGATCATAAAAAGACACATCAAAAATTGTTATACGTTTGTGATTTTTGTAACATTGTATTTACTTTAAAACAAAATTTCGTTAAGCATCAAAAGTAACATAATTTAGAAAAATTATTTACAAGCATACATTGTAATAAAAAAATCAAAAGATCAACACATTTAAATAGACATATGAAAATTTACAGTAAATGTAAAATTAAACAGATTTGTAGAAAATGTGGAAAAGGATTTTCAAGATAAGAAAATTTAAAAAGACATATGAGAAATTACAATTTGTAAATTCATAGTGAATAAATTTTTTGAAATTAATTTATTTATCTTTCCTTATTACGACAGGAAATTACAATTTGTAAATTCGTAGTGAATAAATTTTTTGAAATTAATTTATTTATCTTTCCTTATTACGACAGGATATTATTGTAAATAAATTTATTGTCATACAATTTGAAGACTTCTTAAAAATATAACTTATATGCTGTCATATAAAGTAAAGTCTTTTCAAAAATATACCGTGTACTACGCTCGAATTAAATGGTGCAATTAAATTAACAACCCAACAAAATGCAACCATATTCTTAAACTCCCAAGAGGTGTTTTAACTGAGGAGAATGGTGGGGGATGGAGGAGGATAGGTAAAGGATGCATGTGGGATGCATGGGGGATAGAGGGGGATGTAATGAATTATTAAAACAGCAAGAAAACAAACGATTAACAAGGTATTATTAGTAAATCTACGATGATTAATACAATCATCCTCTTTATCTTGCTCCAATATAAAATTCATAAGGTACAAGTAAATATAAAAACTTGGTAATAGATTAATATAATACAATCGTGATGTAAAAGGCGAAGCGCCTCTCGTATTTATTTCTGAAGAGGTCGACTTTGGTTTCAACGAAACGTCAAATATTTTGTTCAATAAAAATGTGCTCCCTTTTACCAAGTTTTTATATTTACTTGTACCTAATGATTAACAAGGTAATTTAAGGGGGATAGGTGGGGGATGGAGGGGGGTTAGAAGCTGAATCCCCTAAAAACAACTTAATAATACAGAAATATATATACTTAGCATAACTACGGCGCACCATTGTGCGCATGGAAGAGGGAGGGAGAGAGAGAAAGAGAGACAGACCTCTGTCCTGCAGTCAGCGCTGGCAGGTACGTAGATAATATATACATTTTTTTTTTATATTATAGTGCTTTACGCCCAGCTCCTATAAAAGGCACTACTCTGGGCACTTAGAACTTGGGAGAAGGAAAGGAAGAGGGATGGAAGGCCTCGAAGTACTATGAGGGAGGTAAGGGGAAATTAGGCAATTATGCTGCGAGAAGGTTGCTTGCACCCTCCTCGAGGAGCATTGCGTGGTGAAAAAGTACATATGAAACTTATAGAGGTACTTGCCCGAAAAAATCGCACTGACTGGGAATCGAATCACGGTCTCCCACGTGCCGACCCACAACCTAGCCGACTGAGCCATCGCACGATAGATAATATATACATTGATGTGTACACGCCAGCGTTCGCTCACTTGTTTCACGGGTTAACTCCCTACATAAAGTGCGCCTAAAGAAGTTTCACTGCAAAAGTACGTACATGTGTTAACGTAACAAAAGACGATAAAAAAGTTGTTTAGAAAAAGAGCATCACGTTGATCTGAAATTTGATTCATAGTTTCAAATTTAGATCACAACCTAATAATCTTACATTATTAAGTTTTAAAAATGCACGTATGTACGTACGTACGAAGAATGGCAAATGACTATCATTAAAAATTTGCAACCAATGGAGTTCACATTTGATACGAAGTTTTATCTCAACGTCACAATCGAATGCTTTCAAATTCAGTACATTTTCTTGACAGTAAAATTATTCCAGCCCAAACACTGTAAATTTTCAGAATATGAGAATCGGATTTTTCAATGTAACTTTACTATTTTGTCCTCAGTAATCAAAAATGTAGATTATATTAAGAAAACAGCTGTTGACTATCTATTCAGCACTAAAAAAAAGTTGATTTATGTTACGCCTGTATGGTCAAAAAGCAAATGTTTGAAGAGTTAATGAAGCAAGCTTTTTATTTATTTTTTTTTTTCTACCGGGTTACCACGACAGACTACTTGGCCTAGTCGCGGGGGCCACCCACTCACCAACTATGTGTGGGGGTGTACTGCCACACCCATCTCCCTAAACCTTTTTCCTCGCATCCTACCTGAATCCATGGGCACAGTGTAAATATCTCCGATGGAACACCTTGCCAGTTAAGCTGACACTCTCTGCACCGATAGTGCATCGGGTCCACTCACCACTGTGTAGCCTTTCCCCGGAGAAGACTCCACTATTCCAGGACGTCCACTCCTCGCCGGTTAAGCTGGCGCTCTCTGCCACAGCATCGGATCCAGGCTAATTAGCATCCCCGGAGAAGCCCCGTATTTCAGAGGCCACTCCTCACCGGTAAGGCCGACGATCCCTGCCCGACGCCTGGCATCGGATCCACTAATCCCTACCTACAGCCTTACCACTGTTTCGCATTCACCGAGGCCCAAAAACCTATGGGGCAAGGAAAAAACCCTGGAATTAATATAAAGGAAAGTTACACGGAAAAACCCACCCCGAAACAGTCCGGGTTACTAAGGAACTTTTCCCGATAAAAACAATTTTTGAAAAAATCTGCATTCACCTGGAATCGAACCCACGACCCCTAGAACTGCGTTGTATCAGTAACAAGCACGCTTACCACTGAGCCAACGCCGCTCTTTAGCAAGCTTTTTATTATATTTTAAATGTTTAAAGTCTTGCAATCTCAAGAACTCGTGGATGACAATTATAGCTGGATGACTGGATTCCAGATCTCGCCAATATTTACTACAGCTACATAACAGTTTGTTCATATGTAACAACCTACTTTTATAAAAATTTAGTTGTATATCTTTTTGTATTTTTTAAAAATTTGGCTATTGAACGCAAGCATTAACAAATATATTTTCATTTAGAGATAAAAATAATAAAATATTTTTGATCATTGTATTAAATTGCCAACTGCGATGATTCAGATTGCTGGAGCATATGCTAATGTACTCTGTTTGTGATTACTCACAAGTGTTTTCTGCCAACTTCATACTCCATTACTAAGACAGATGATCCCATCCCAAACCGTGAAGGGATTATGACGAAAAGTAATTTGCTTCTTACTTAATTTGCTACTAACTCGACCATTAAATACCATCATCAGCATTCCCTATGCCATTTATTGCTTCAGTGTACGTAGAGTTTTAGAAAAAAGATGTTGTGGTTTGGGCGGTATCCACTTTTCATCCATGAGAAGAGCTACAGGTAGAGAGCACTAAGGTGTAGTTCATAATTTACCTGCAGTACCGAAGCGAATTTTACTAATTATTACGCTTTGAAGTATTGAGCTTTTGTGAGCAAGCTAGCACAGTTTAAAGAGGCCACATGAGAGCAAGGTTAAAAAAGCTGATGATTTTATTGAAAATCCTAGATACATGAGTTTTACGAGTCACTTCTTGGGTCATACATTAGTCAATATTGACGTAATAAGGTGAAATATTCTTAAAAAAAATTATAGTTGTTTCTATTCAAGCATTTAATTGTAATTTTTTCACTGTGATTCCAAAGTACACTTATGAATGTAGTTTCTAATCTTAATCTGAAACAAAAGTACTTAACTAATCATGAACTACAATAATAAAAAAAATTATGTTTTTTCATTATATCCCACGAAATGTAGCACGTTATACTCTTTCCACACAAAAAGTATGGACTTCAAAAAATCTCAGGTGCAATGAACGCTGGAGCGGAAAGGGGAGAAAGCTTAATCTTTCGACCTTTAATGAAAGAAAGACGAGGGTTTCTCACACACCTAGATCTTCTAACATTTATTACTAAGTTAATATAATCAACCATTTCGGCTGTTTGTAAGACAATGTTTTTACTCACTAAAAATATAATACAAAAAACCTTGAAATGTACTTAGACTGACCTTCAAAAAAGAAAAATCCTGATCGGCATCCAATACATTTATTCTTAGAAGAACCATTACACGTTTCACAAGAAGAATGACATGCAACACAATGGTAGTCATCGGTTTCATAGGTGTATAAGGGACAAGTTGCGTAGCATTTGTTTTTATAAAGTACTAAATGATGCTGACAACTCGTGCACTGATCTGGTTGTTCTGAACAATTTTGACAATTTGCTTCACATGGCTCACATGTACCATTTTTAGAATCTGTAAAAAAATTTTTAAAGGCTTATTTACTCTTTTAAATATAGCACAAATCAGTAATTTAATTTCTTCAAGTCGTACCAAAAATTTTTTTTTACTTAAACATAATACAATACATAATNCCTATGAGCCTCAAGCGGCGGAAATAAACTGTTAACTCCCTTAAAATTTACTAATCTACTCTGTACATAATTTAACTGTGTAATATATATGTATCAGACCAAAAAATTAGAGAAAGGTCTATACAATTAGGGAGAAACTGTAGTTTAGTAAACCTGAACACACTTTCCATTAAATAGCTCTCGTAGTATATGTTCTTAGCAGAAAATTATTCAGTCTGACTGAAAGAGTATTAAGATCAATTTGCAAAATTAATTAATTATCTCAGATCAATCTAAAAAATACTATTTTCTAAGGTAAAAAATCCATTTTATGATAAATCGACTTGGGGTCGTCATCCCTACACCACACGCCTTTTCATAATGTAGCTACAATGGTTATCATTTGCCAAAATAACACTTTTCTTAGCGTAACAAGTTAAAAGGAGCTTCCATTTTAGCTTATTATAGTAATTTATGTTTATTTATGTGTCAAGAATGTAGAATAATTTCAGAAACACCTTTTTCCAGATTACAATAATATTTAATAAAAATAATAACACAAGCAGAAACTTAACCTATGAGGGTTTGCATGATTTAGCATTTATTTTCAAAAATGTTTACTGCTTGGCGTGCTCATTTATAAGCATCTGTCTTAAATTCTAAGTAGTCTGACTTCTAAAACCAAATAAAACGTCTTACGAAAGCGATAGTACGTATAAAAATAAAGTAGTTTTTGGCTGCCCTCTTGGTGCAGAAAGCAAAACTTTATCACTACTTATGAGTATATTTGTTCATATAAAGTAATAATGAAGCTGAGTCTGCAAACATTTTTTCTGGTATAGGGGGCCACTGTCATTCTAAGTTTAAGTATTTTTATTCTCGAAGACAGTGACTCCAGCGGCTCTAACCGCAACTCAAAGAGTAATATTTATTTTGCTTAAGATATATACATACACACTACTATTTGTCGACATTTTTTTTCAATTACAATTTCTTAGCTAAAACTGATCATTAAACACAGTAAAAAGTTAGTTAAGTAGAACTTCTGCTTGTTAAATGTCATTATCTAAAACCTATCCTTATAATAATGGGTCCAGAAAAAAGCTTTATAGTTGAAAAAAATCAAGAATATTTATAGAATTTTATAGCCTACGTTTAGTAGGGTAATAATTTAAGTTAAAACTGTCAGGATTAGAGTGTTCGACCAATTTTGTTTCCTCACTGAACATTAAAGTTTGAAGGTAAAGCTGTAGATTTTTATGAATTTATCTTTAAATAAGTTTTTATTCTATTATTTCAGAACACGTGTATGAAATGTGAGCTGCTTTGATAATATTTAAGCAGAAAAAGTGAATAGTATGTAAGTACCATAATTTTTGCTGCACCCTAGAGGTTTTTAAAAATCTACTCTAGTAAGCTTTAAAGAAGTGAATAGACAATTTTAAGATCACTCGTGATCAGTTAGCCACAATTTGAAAATGATAAAAAGTTTCTCTATACCTTATATAACATCCCAATCGGAAAGTTAACTAGGATACCACGTTAGGTAGGTAGGCCCAAGGTTGGCTATCAAGGTAGGGCCTACCTGTATCATTTACGCGGCGCAAGCGTGGCGCTGCCTTAGGACAAAGTTTCTATCTTCTATCTAATTTTTTTTGACATTATAAAACTGCGAAAATATTTCGGAGCAGTGTATTTATAAAAATGTGTAAAGGTTATTTGTGGTGATAAATTATTGAAAATCAGTGTGAAACTAAAACGCTCTTTATACTTAACGAGGTTGACTACCTTAAGCGATTGATGGCCATTTTTTCACTAGAATTTGTACAGAACTTCAATAATTTATATTTAATTTATGTAAGGTTTTAAGAACTCTGGGTGCTGATAAAACGAGAAATTAATGAAATAAATTTTGTAAACTTTACATGCGTTCTTATGGGAGATTGTCAAAAGCGACTCTTATAATAACAAATTTTAATGCAGTCAACAGTCAGACTTGGACAAAACTGTAGTTAACAGTAAATTAACATTTGTTTTTTTATTGTGTAAAACAATCACGTTCATTAAGTCCTTGTAAAAATAGTTGCTAATAAGTAATCTGGAGTGTAAATTCAACTCAATATTAAATTATAGAACATGCGCACGCATTTCGAAACTAAAAAAGACACAGTCAGACCCCTCTCTCTCCCTTACACCCCTCTCCAAATGCAGTCAACCTCCTTAACAAACCAAAGAGTGAAAAATATTATTTTTTAAAAAAGCCAAGAACTAAATAACTTAAGTGCAGTTAACAAGTAAGGAGTCATGCCAAAAAAATAATAAGAATCTAGAATTGTATTACATACGAGTTTGTTATTTATTACAAAAGTCTGTGATGTGATGGTACTTAAACTAAAAAAAAATTATAAAAGTACTTTAGATTATTGAAATCACATTGTATTTCTTTTATTTAACACATAATCCATTCCCTTAGTTAGCCACACTAAAAGGTTAACTGGGCAACCAAGGTAGGGCCCACCTAATGCTGCGTAAACGTCTGATGTTAAGGTCCCATTTATGCCAAGGTTAGCCAAACGTAGGGTGAGTCGGCCGACAAAGTAGGCCCTAGCTAACACTTTTTTAAGCTTTCCGATCAGGATTATATAGATGTTAATTCATGTATGTATATCTTTATGTATATTTATATGAAGTGCTGTACTCAAATTCAGGTTTATCCCTATGAGCCTCAAGCGGCGGAAATAAACTGTTAACTCCCTTAAAATTTACTAATCTACTCTGTACATAATTTAACTGTGTAATATATATGTATCAGACCAAAAAATTAGAGAAAGGTCTATACAATTAGGGAGAAACTGTAGTTTAGTAAACCTGAACACACTTTCCATTAAATAGCTCTCGTAGTATATGTTCTTAGCAGAAAATTATTCAGTCTGACTGAAAGAGTATTAAGATCAATTTGCAAAATTAATTAATTATCTCAGATCAATCTAAAAAATACTATTTTCTAAGGTAAAAAATCCATTTTATGATAAATCGACTTGGGGTCGTCATCCCTACACCACACGCCTTTTCATAATGTAGCTACAATGGTTATCATTTGCCAAAATAACACTTTTCTTAGCGTAACAAGTTAAAAGGAGCTTCCATTTTAGCTTATTATAGTAATTTATGTATATGTACTACTAGTAGAGCTCCACCCCACTGTACACTCTGCGCGCTAGCCCACCAATTTTTAAATATCAGTCAAATGCTTTATTTTTTCAGTTTTCCATTTAAAATTAAGAAAAACAAAAATTTTTGTAAAGTAGTTTTATAGATAAAACAGAAGTAGCGTAAATTTAATTTTTTATAAATTTATACGAAAATTTTTTGCCTGGTTGCTGATATCACAAAATATTCAAGGAGATAAAATTTTGAAAACATTTTAACCATTTTATCGATTTAATACTGTTTTTGGAATTGTAGGATTAGAATCCAATATAGGATTCTAACTGACCCTTGTATAAATTACAGATAAGAATATTCAAACAAGTAATAAAAATAAGAAAATGGCGGTTGTACTCTCTGGCCGTAAGGTACGTACGATAGTAAGTACACGTAGACAGTTGCGACCATAGACAGTTGGCATGATCACAATCTACCATTGCTATAAGACCAAAAGCAGATACACGAAGGTGGTCGAAAATCAAGACCAACCGAAATCTCACCAGAACTTAAAAACCTCATTATTCATGAAGATCCATAATATTTTTGTTATATTTTATTTTGGTAAAGATATGAGTAATTGAATATTGCCGCTTGGTCCATTCCATGAACTAGCCGCAACCCTGATCAACAAATAGAAAATGAAAAAATATAACAAAAAAGTGTAGTTTACGCCAAGATTAAAATTAATTTTCTACTCGAAAATTGACCTTTGAAAAAATGCACCCCCACACAACAGCAATATAAGTCACAGTGTGGCCAATTGGTTGTTTACAATAATTCATAACAGAAACTAAAAGTTTCAGCAACTTTTAGAAGTAATAAAGGAAAAAACAACATTTATCTATTATTTGTATTTTTTTTTTTAACTATCAACTAATTTTTTTTTACAAAATAAAAATACAATAGTTATTGTTTATTAATGCTTTTTTTGTGTCTTTGTAAATAATTTTTTTCGAAATCATACGTCAGTATTATTCAAACGTAATTTATTCAGTTTTATTAAACATCTTCAATTGAAAAAAGAATTTATTTTAATTACCAATTTATTTGAAAGAATCACATTTGTACTATTAGAACATTGAATTCAAACATAATTATATACGAATTTAAATAATATGTACATCAAGTTTCCAAGTAATACGATTTTTTTATCGCATATTTATTTTTTCTATTGCAAGTTGCGCATTATCTTGGTTAAAGATGAAAGGGTTCAGTTTATTAATATACTTGACATTTTCTAATAAAGAGATGAGGATGATTTTTATCTTTTTGTGATAAATAGGGCAACGAGCAAGATACGCGGTTCCCATTACCTATAAGATAATTTGATATTCTTTGATTAGGTATGAAAATATTATGTCATATTTTTAAACATTTTTAATAATGCAGTTAATAAGCCTATAAAAAATTTAACTAAGAAAAAAAAACCAACGAGCCATAGGACTACCTCAAGAGTAGTGTAAAAATCTGCTAATAAATGATATAGATAAAATAATTATTTAGGGAGTGCTTGAAAGTGGCTAAAGATAGCTAGAACAAATATTGGAGCATTGCTGTGACACTGTGCTTAGAAAGTGTGAGGGGATTGAAAAGGGTTTCTTAAAAAATCTTACAAAAGCTGAAGAGAAGGGGGGAAGGTCCAAAGAGTAATTTAATTAAAAATTGTATAATAACCAAGATAATCTTACCTCATTT